GACATTTGCATAGTGCTACGGTTCAGTAAGCACTAATTGGTCAGCGAGTCCGATGTTGACGCTATAAAAAGGCGACAGTTCGACACACCGGATATACGTCACTCTCGTCTAAGTTCGACTTGGGAATTTTTTTGTTCAATAATAAATGTGAATTCTTCTTCCTGGAAAAAATAAGACATTCCCTGAAAATAAGACCTAGCGCATTTTTCAGAGCAAAAATTAATATAAGACACTCTTATTTTCAGGGAAACACGGTAGTAAAATAATTTTAATATTAATAATAATAATTTAGTAACATAAATTTATTCATAGTAAAATGTACTCGCGGGCCGTAAAAATTATTTGGCGAGCCATATACGGCCCGCGGGCCGCCAGTTGGACAGCGCTGAAGTAAATCATAAAATTTGAATACAGTAGGCTATAATATTACAGAAATTATAAAATAAAATAAAATTATAATATAAAATTAAGTAATGTATTTTTTTTTAATGTCTTAATGTAGAATTATATTTTGTTGTTATTGTTGTGTAATGTTTTGTTTTTGTTCTGGAGAATCTGAAAAATGGTTTTGATGATTGATTCTGCATTTGTAGATTTTTCTTTTCTTTTGATTGTGATTGAATGAAGTTTATAATTATTGTAATAAAATAGAATAAATAAGACAAATAATAAAGTTGCCTTATATTTACAGGGTGGCTACTAAATATTTTAAAATTAATTTACGTATATTTAATTATGTATATTTATGTATATATTTAATGACAATAATTTTGATTGGTCAACTGCTGTTTGAGTAAAATTATGTAATACTGCACTTATAATTATAACTTTTGCCATTTTCATCTGCTTTAGAATGAGATACTAGAGCTGTTGAGATCAGTACTTCCCTCAAATATTCATACCTATGACTTTAATGAAAAATAAAATTAAGAACAAACATGAGAGTGACACTTGGGATAGTAATTATGATCAAGAGTTTTCAAAGTTTTTAATTAAAATTAGATAAGGCAAATTAGAAGAAACTGATAAAAAATAACTTTATTAACATCACTGTATACAATTGTTAACAGTTTAGAACAATTAATTTCTAATTTGTAATGTGTATTTTAATGTTTTTAATATCAAAAGTTAAAGGTGTTTATTTTTCCTAATGAATTTTTGAACTATGGGTTCCTGTACATGAAATTGTTTTAAAAGTAAGTGCTCCAGTCAATGTTGCTGAGGGCATAAGTTGTGTAATGATACACAATTAAAAGTCACTCGTACAAGATATTAGTTTGAAATGTGAGAGACAAGAATAGTTGATTGCTTAACATAATGACTGCCAAATATTAGTACAATTATAGTTAACAATCTGTTATTAGATGCCATCAACTAGTTAACTACACTCATATCAAAAACCAAGCATAATCATTACTTTAGCTCCATGGTTCCCAATTAGTGGTACTCGTACCCCTGGGGATACGCGAAATTGCATGAAGGGGTACGTGCGGCAATCTAAAATCTGTTAATTTAAAATTTAAATGCATGAGATGAAGCAATAAAAAAAATAATGGGTGGACCATCAAAAATTTGGCAATTTACAACATGATGTTGAATGCACAAATTCGTTTATTTATAACTAAAAATATTCCTGAAATTTCATCAAAAAAATGCATTTGTGACAATAACTAAATGAAATTCTTATGCAAGAAACAAAAATTGTACAGTTAACATTATTATCATGTCAGCGAAGGGACAATAAAATATTTACTACCATTTTGCACGACATACCTCTGTGAGAGCAGATTTTTGGCCATAACAAACTTGAAAACTAAACATCATCACCGATTTCAACTCGAAGATGACTTGAGACTGTAGCTGACCAAAAAGCAACCAGATTTTACAAAGTTGTGCAAAGAAAATCTTGCACATTTGTCACATTAAAATTAAATAACCTTATGTTATTTTCATTATTATTAGAATTGTATTTTAAAGGTAATAAATGTAAAAAAACTTATTCTATTTATCACTAGCTGTCTANTCCAGAAGATTCTAAATTTATTTATTGATTTATTTATTTAATTTTAATTATTAATTTAATTAAGAGATGGCGCCTAACGTCTACCTCTAGTGTCAAATTACTTTATTCCAATCATTTAATTAGCCATATTATAGCCCGATATTTAGGCGATCGTTTGGTGATGAGATAATCCTACAGGCATCATACTTGATATATCGAAATTATTTTATTAGGTGCAATAAAGTATATTAATTTAATAGCACGAGTCACCCGTGACTAGTAATGCCCAGCAGCTGCCTAAAAGTTTATTTACTGATGCCATTAATGTGTCAATCATCTTATCATTACATTAATGAAATACACCTCAGTATATTTCATCAGTGATCTCAAATAAACATAATGAGCACAATAATTATAAATGAGTTTCTATAAACTATTTAATTTATTTATCTCAGTAAGAATTAGTTTTGCCTAGTTAATTTAAAGCTGTAAATTAATTAGGCAAAACTTTATCTGTGGTAACATTCATTTTAGACAAGTCTGTTTCATTTCAGTGGATACACAAAATAGCAAGAACTATTATGTATAGCAGTGATGTCTAATCAATCTGCAATTCCTGGACTAAATCTGACCTGCAAACATATTTGATACATTATTTATAAATAATAGAAATAGGCCTACTTTCTTATATATGGAATGTATAAAATATTTGTGGCCAACCTGACAGGTACAATTTGGTACCACTGGTGTATTGTATGCACATAACCCACATGTACAAACACCTCTTCACCTACAAAAAGGTTGTGATGTGCTATATTACACGTGTTTTGGACTAATACTTTATGAAGAAGCTCTAAATTCAAATTCCACCAAGAGTTTTTCTGCAGTTTCTTATTTTTGCAGTTGTATGAAAGAGACTGCTGGTTACAATCTGCCATACTGTTTGCTTTATGATGGATTTCATTCATATGAATTGTTTGAGGACAGTAGTTTTTATAGGATGGTAGCCACCATGATTCATCACTCAAATCTGGACTTTTTTTATGGGCTTTTCTGAAGAAAAATATTCCAGAATATGATTAAATGTATGAATAAGTGTTTAGAACATAATGGTTATTATTTTCAGTATTTTATATAGGTAGTTTGGTTTATTATGTAAATGGATGAAGAAAATTCATAATATGAAATATCAATGTATATTTATCACTGAAAATGTAAACATGAAAAAAATGAAAATGTTATGTAAATGTTAAATTGTATTTAATTACATTATTTAACTTGCCAAAGAAATATAAAGCCATAAAATGAAACTTATTTTATATATTAACATAATTTTATTTTTAGTAATATTTTAATTTTTGATATCACTTGGAATAAGATATAACAAATTGAATTAAATGCACATAGTCTATATCAGTTTGTGAAATCAGTAAAACTTCAGTATATTGAGTTTTGAATATACTGTTCTAAATAGCACTATGTTCACAAAGACCCAATGACTACTTGTGCCAGATAACTTTAATATTACGAATTACTAAACGTATCAAATACTGTTGTATGGCAAACAATCAAATTGCTAAATCATTGTGAATTTCAAACTTTTAAACCCGGACTTGTGTGTAAATCTCATTAATAAAGTATATGTAATTCTTATTGTTTGAAAATTATTTAATAATATTCTAAATTGCATATAAATGTTGTTTTAATTAATTTAAAAAATTAATTTCTACACTAAGGTGTAAAGTAATGGTAATGGTAAATGAAAATGGTAATGGCATCATTTTTAGTTATGACTTTATTGGCAAAATGGTGAAAAGTAATGCTGTTGTGTGTAAACAAAATGAAACATTGCACAGTTAAACTAAAGTCGTGGTCACACCTTGCAATTTCCAGATATGCAGGCAACTGTAACTGCGATGGCTGTTCCTGATAACTAATAAGCCCCTTCTAAAACCAGCACAACTGCAAACACATCTAGAAACAAAAAGTTTGTTCTACTCATGTCAATTGCAAAAGCACATTCAATCAGCAAATGCCTTTGAGCCATGTCATATGGTGGCAACTTTGAAAATAGTTATCATCATGGTAGAAATTGAGAATACCAACACATACAGATGTAAAATTGATATTGATTGAGCTTATTCAGGCACACAAATGCCTGTGGAGTTTTAATACCTCATTTTATCAAAGATAAGATAAAAGAACACAGGCAGGGCATGAGATAAGTGAGTCTTGCCACTAATTGAAAGTACTATTTTTAGATTTCTGGATATAAAATGTTGATTGTAGTTTAGTAATGATAATATTATTTTAAATATAGCTAAAGAACTAAGTAAAAAGTACCATCATTTGTGAATGACATTTCTTCAGATTAAAAAAAGATGGACAAANCGGTTTAGACGTCAAAAAGGTGACAGACAGACAGAATTACCTTCGAAGTTATAATATTAGTATGGATTAATATGAATTTCTGCTATAAGGGGTATGCGAGTTTGAGCTCTTTCTTGAAGTGGTACGCAGGAAAAACTAATTGGGAACCACTGCTTTAGCTTATATCTCGGGAACTACTAAACAAAACAATGTGAAACCTAACATGCAAGCAAAACATTGTATTATTTAGTCAACAAAATAATTGAAAAGAAAAGATTTAATAAATTATATCAAACCAAAAACAGCAAGATAGAGCATTGTTGTAAATATTTTTACCATAAAAATAATTTTAATGGATATACAAATGTTTTTGATTTATTAATAGACCTGCATCAATTGATGTATTTATACATTCTATTTTTAGAATAAATGTGAGTTCAAATATGAATGTTCCATAAAAATTTATGACATTCATCAAACCCAACTTTTGTGAATAGCTTCTTGGGAAATCCTTTTGCACAGAACATGGTTAATAGAGCATGTTGCCTTCTGTATGCACACATCCTGCACAACAGTAGCTCATGCTGGTCATAACATTGCTTATCAGCTCTGTTGAGAGCAAAATCTGTTCTTGAACAAGAGCATTTTGAAGCTTCTTGATGTTCTTGGTGGAAACTGAGGAGATGCATTTTGTCTCCCTAAAGCATTCCACACATTATACGGGAATTAAGTTTGAAGATCTTATGATGCAACAAATATTGTGAGGGATACGACGATGAAGGCGCCTTTCAACAGCGAGAAGGAGAGTTAGTGGTCAGTCACATGATGAGAATATAGTTGGACTGTTGTCCTGCCATAGTTGTATTGTTGTCTGCATAACTGATCGTGAACGGATAATAAACGTATTGTTCACAGTCTCACCCCTTTTGTCTGTTTTATTGTGCATAGTCACAACATATCTTTACTGTCAAGAAAGTCATCGACAAGTGCAGCTGATGTACATGGACATTGGACATAAAAATAAAATCACCCACAGCACCCAAAAAAGTCCTGCAAGTAGTTCTAAAATCTTTGTACCTTATTTTAGTAATGAAAACATGGAGTACAGAGCAGCTATTAAGTATATTGTCATCATTATTAATTGGAAAAACATTTAAAGCTTCAATGTTTCTGCAATGTCAAAATGTTACCTATACAAAATGCATCAAATAAGGAAATGTGAATGATGTCAGAGTTTTTACTAAAAACTGACATCATTCACATTTTCTTATTTGATGCATTTTGGTACATGTAACATTCACATCATTGTACATTATTCATATTTTCAGGCAGTTAGAAAAAAATTACATGATTACTGAAAATAGAAAAATTATTTTTTTAATCGATAATTGCAGTGCACATTTCATGATTCCCATTCTGAAAACTATAACAGTTCAATTTTTACCACCAAATACAAGTTCTAGATTGCAATCTGTAGAAATATTGGAACTCAGATCAAGGTAAACTTTAAATTACAATACAGAAAACTTATTATATGAGAGATGTCACATGTTATTGAAGGTGGATCATGCATTCAATGAGGTGTTTGGAGCATTCAATATTTTATTTTTAAATGTAAGAACAATAAAGTACTCAAAATATAAGTTCATATAAATTCCAATTGCATGTAAATAGATTGAGAACATTTATTGTGAAATGCATTTAGAAAAGTAAAAATTCTATAAATTAGTTGATTATGTGCAATAATAAAGATTTACTAGACTTGTATTTCTAGAAAAAGAATTATTTAATGGATAATATATATTAATTATATTTTTCATACTGTAACAAAAAGAATTAGGGAGCATAAAAGTGATGATAAAGCAAAAACTTCATTTTACTCTTGTATCATTAACCTCACTAAATGCTTGGAAACAGATTGGAATAATGCCAAGATTATACAGATAGAGATAAAATATAAGCAAGATTCATTGAACTTTGCCAAATTTATAAAAAGAAAACAAATGTCAACTGTCTCTATGTTAAAGATTCAGTTCTTTATGTAAATAATAATCAAAATATGAATTCAGAAGCACTTTTTTAACGTATGACTTATTTTCTTTGCATTTGTTTTATTTTTATGTTTAAAGTTTTTTTATTTGGATATGTGTATTTGTTTGTAAATATTCGTTTTTATAAATGCATTCTTTTAAATCTTATATTTATCATATATCCAATTTGTTTTTAAAGCTAATCAAAACATCAGCCATAAATTTCAGCAAATCATGTTTATTGAAAATGTTTTCAACTTCATGGAAAAGTCTTCCTCAAAGCTATAGTAAATTGAATACTCCTACTGTAATTTGCTGAAATTTATGTTTGTTGTTGTTTTGATTTTAAATGTAATCCAGTTTATACATTTTCTTTATTTATTTTCTAAAACTTGTAATCATTTCATTTTACAATCATATTTGTATTTTATTTGTGCAAAAAATGGAAATATACACTTGAATAATTTAAAATGTTTTTAAACCATTAAAATATTCACTGAGTCAAACATAGTATTTAATTAATGTCTTTAAGTCTTAAAGCTTAGAACTGTGGCATATAAAAGAAATGGCTAGTTTATTATAGTTTCTAATTAATTTTTCTGGATTTAACGAATAGTTTATACAAATTAATAAGTTATAGAAAATGTTCCATAGATTAAAAAGAAAGGATCATGTGAATTATGGTTGAATATCTTTTGTCTGTTATTTAAGATATATGTTGTTTGTTTTTTTTGTATAAATGATAGTCTTTATGGTTACGAAAGTGTAATAAATTGATTTCAAATATTTGATTGCTGTGTGTGATAAGCTCTAATATATAAATTACAATGGTCTTTATTTATGTAAAAAATGAATATGTTAAATAATAATACTGTAAGGGCAAGAAGCAGAGTTATTAATAATCCCTTGTCTGTTTCATTCATTTTGTGAGGTCTGTCTCGAAAGTTTATAAACTTTTTAAATTACACGCCAATCAATAATGAATCTGAATGCAGTTTGCACAGCTTTCTGCTGGCAAGTTTTTTGTACTATCTGTCAAAAGCAGTTTGTTCTGTCTTTATTTGTTGTTATGTTACATTCATTTCTGTAAACACTTCTTGATTTAGTTTTGCAATTTTCTTTTCGTGAGTGCAGTTGACTGAAGATATTTGGGACAAGCTAAGTCTGATAAAAATTTCATGAAAAATGTCATCACTGGGGATGAGACATGGGTTTATAGATAGGACATGGAAACAAAATGTTGGTCATCACAGTGGGTGGGAAAATCTTTACTGAGATCTAGAAAGGCATGATAAGTTTGGTTGAATTTGAAGATCTTGCTCACTGTTTAGTTCAATTCTGATGGTGTTATTCAACAGGAATTTCTTCCAGAAAGGAAGACAGTGAATAAGGAATATGTCTTCTTGAAGAGAACAGCATCATAACAATGCTCCCATTCACATAACACAGCTGATAATAGAGATTTTAGCTAAGAACTCGACACCACTTGTTCTCCAACCTTCAAATTCACCAAGCCCCTAGCAGACTTCTTTTTGTTTCCCAAATTAAAATCTGCTCTCAAATGTTACCCATTGATGACATTAAAGATAATTCACTAGCAGAATCTGCACATCATCTTTAAAGAAGTATTTTCAGGAAGTAATCAATTACGTATCTCGAAGCCTGTTACCAGCAGAGCTGTGGAGTTGGAGTCGTGGAGTTTTGGTGTTTTAGCTGGAGTCGGAGTTGTAAAAAAATCCGCCGACTCCGACTCCTTTTTACTTATGTACAAGGTCTGTTCAAAAAGTATCGGATTTTTTTTTTCCCCGCGTAAACCAATGATGCGCGAGAGGCCTCCTTCNGTACAGTACTTATCATAAGTACTTATGTGTATTGGTTTTATTATTATTATTATTATTATAAAAATTATTTAATTTAAGCCTAATTATTCAGGTTATTTTTATTTTTAGACTGTAAGAAAACTGATTAAACTAATAAATTTGGTCAAAAGATAGGTGATTATGATACTAACATATATTAAGATAATTAATTGAAAGTAAGCTAGATGATTAGGCCTAAGTTGATTGTGTGAGATAGCCAGGGACGTAATCAGAGGTACGCCACTTACGGGCACGCGATCGAGAGATCGGTTCTCTTACTTTTTATAGGAGGGCTGCTATAAACTTTTTATAGGAGGGCTGTTATAAACGATCCTAATCGCGAGATTCGGATCTACATCAGGATTCCTGTGACACCAGTTAATCAATCTTATTATACGCGGATTAACACGCGTACGAGATCTGATTCAGACACAAAATTAAGAGACATTTTAATTATAAAACAAACAAAAGTAAATTTAATGATTCAATAAGCAAGACTAATACAAATATCAAGGAACGAGGGATAAAAATACGACAATTAAGATACACGATATAGGCATGGACTTATACTATACCCGATACGCGATCGAGAGAGAGAGAGAGCTCACAAAATCGTTATAAAACATACAACCTATTTTAGTTGTCGTTCGTCTTCTTCTCTGTAGGCAAGGGACACCTTGGAGATAAAGTTCATTTACTTCTTTCCATGGAAGATCAATATGTGCACAAAATCCAAGTATATTTTCTAAGTGCTAACTCTGGAATTATTCTGTATGTGACTCATCTAAGGACGTTGGTCATCAGGAGGAAAATGTATGGAGTTCGGACACTCTCTATGTCTGTCGATGAACTCCCCAGATTCTGACAAATTTCCTCTATATCTCCTGATTTTCGACCAATCATCGGCCAGTAACTCTTTCATGAGAACGGATGAAAGGGGAATGAATGAGGGGTAAACATTTCCCATCTGAGCGGGATTTTAACCAGATAAGGGAAAGTCAGAGGATGTTCTAACTTCTGTGAAAGGAAGTAACATCTTTTATCTGCCTTTTCCCACGTTAAAACATTATTTTTCTTACCAAAAAATGAAGTAATATTTGGTGACAATATTTAACA